GGGGAGGAGCAGGAGCTGTAATGAGAAGGGATGAGTAGCACTGGCCATGCATGTCTCCATCACCCCCCCAAAAGCAAACAGGAGAAGGATGGGCTCGTGGTTAAGCCATGGGCCCGGGGCTTGGAGGTCTAGCTTCAGTTCCCAGTTCTGACACTGCTCGTCTGCCCCTGGCCCCGCCACTTCACCGCTTGCTTCGGGCTGTGACTCCCCCTTGTGGCATGGACTCATACTAACCCTCTTTCTCCCTGCGTGTCTATTCAGAGTGTAACTTCTTTGGGGCAGCGACTGTCTCTCACAGCGACTGTCTCTCACAGCGCGTCTGCACAGCACTTTGCAGCAGCGAGCTCTGTGCCTCTCAGGGCGCCTGTAATACAGATAATAGTCATACCTGAAAGCTTTGCGCTTCAGCAGGGTCTTTGTGAGCCTGGGATAAAGGTCACCGTTGGAAAGGATTGTTAAGCAATGTCCCCTGTCTCTGTTAGACCACTGGACTTGGATCGATTGCTTATTTCCTTATGAACTTTCCTGATCAGAAACAAGCAGCATGACTCTAGCTACCGCTTGAAGGTGACATGCCAGCATCTGAAAATACCAGGCCAGTTTGGATTAGCTCTCTGTTCTGCTTTATCCTTTCCGATGTATTTTGTTTATTCTCGGGGCAGGGGTTCTGAAACATTCCCATCTTAACAGCATGTGTGTCCTGTGGAAAACCTCCCCTTCCACCCACAACCACATTGGCCACCTCCCCTTGCGTGCATGACATCTCTCTGACAGGCAGTGCGACTGCTTTCATGGGAAAGGGGGAATAGGAAAGGCATGTATTTTTAACTTTTAATGGAATTTAGCAGCTGGAAACCAGGGGTGGAGCCAGCACCTGTGCTGACCACAGACAGCTACTTGGAGGTCTCTGCCTTGGGGTGCTTAAAGGGCTTTAGAGAGACAAGGTGAGGGAGGTAATCTCTTTTATTGGGCCAACTTCTGCTGGTGAGAGGCAAGCTTCAAGCTACCCCGAGCCCTTCTTCAGGTTTTGCTGGACAAATCAGGACTGGTTCATACAGGCCCTGATTCAGGCAAGCTCCCCAGTCCAGGACAACACTTAAGTACCTGTCTATCTTTAACCTGAACAGGTGTGGCACGAAGCACATGGTTATGGGCTTTGTGAACCGGAGCCATGGAACCTTTCTCATTTGTTGTCTCGTCTCTCCTCTTGTTGGTGTTAAATAGCAAATTAATACATCAAATATATTTAAAAACTTCAAAGCAGCAGCCAGGTCTCCCCGCCCGACCCCTGGTGCCGGGTGCCAAGGCAGAGGGCACCCATATGATTGTTTATTTGTAGTGCAATAAGACCTAGGGACCCCACTCGTGGACCGGAACCCTGTTGTGCTAGGTACTGCACACGGGCAGAAGGCGAAGCTGGTGCCGGCTGTAAAGAGCTCACAAGCTGATTAACAAATAACCTGTTACTGTAATGTAGCCGGGCCGATGGCTCGCCAAGAGGCAGAGCCAGGGACAGCGCACGTCGGTGTGGCTCTGCTCGGGCAGTGGCGCTACGCCAGTTTACACCAGCCAGGATCTGGCTGTTTATTTTTAATCAGGCTGACGACCATTAGCCTGTGATTTTGTTTCCCAATGTACAGCAACGTAGCCAGCACCGAGCGACGCTGTCTCTGCCCCTGGCCCAGCCCACAGCCTGAGCCCCAACTCCTGCCACTTGCCAAGAAAACGCTTCTTGTCAGCAATAATCTGTCCTGGCAGCCGGCTGCTGCTTCCAGGAAACTCCATCGACTCAGGGGCAAAGTGCCAGGCCAGCGCC